GACAAGCCATCCATGCAGGACTCTGCCAACAGGCTTCCCTTCTCCCCAAACTTGCCTGTTGGTACCCTTCTGCACAGGCGCGCCTACTAAACCCCCAAAAAATTGAGTGACTGTGCAGCCTACGCAACCGCAACTACGGGAACTGACAACTAAGGACGGTCGAATTCAATTAGCGAACTTGGTCGCTGCATGAACTTGTACCACGGGGCCAGCACGTCCGCCAAGGTTATACGCACCCGATTTGCTTCAGGGAACTTGGCCCTCATGACCAAGGGCAATGGCTTCGCTTCTGGGTGGTTCAAACGACTTAGCAAGTCAGCCTCTTCATTCCGCTCGCCTGCCACATGGGACAGCTCCAAGGCCACTTGTAGCTCCAAAGCCGCAAAAGCCAAGGCCATCAGCGCAAAGCACAGCGGCGGCGCAGTGGACATGCCCTTACTGCAAGCCGCGACCACTGGCATGTTGTCGCCATATTGTCGCAAGCGCACACAATGCAACTGAGCGGTCCCATCAACCTTTGCGCGAGCCAGAACCAGAGCCAGCTGCGCTAAAAGCTCCAGAGCACATATAGCTGCTTGCATCTTTTCCGGCCACTGCCAAAGATCGGGTAGTTGGCCCTGCTCAATTTCCAGGTGGAACCAAAACAGTTTGTTTGACTCCAAGGCCCGAAACCAACCTCCTATGCCTGAGAGAGCAGACCCGGCCCAGGCATCCGCCGCAGCGTCCTCAGCCACCCTCTCACCGGCCCAAGAGAAGCTGTTGGTGCAAAACACCCGCTGTAAAGTGTGCAACGAGGACAACGAAACCGGATCCAGATCCACACAGGGAGTCCATGCCGAAAACCGGGCCCAAATCTTGCCCGTGATCGTTCGGGGCTGTTGCAGCAGACGACGCGCATTGATGACACAATCAACTGTCTTGTCACCCACAGCGTGCAAACGCCACCCCTTTTGAATATCGCTTCTTGCAGCAGCAGACTGGACTACCAGCCCGTCCCCCAGGGTCATGGCCAGCTCTTCTAATTGCCCCAAACTCAGACACTGCAAGCGTGACCCTGGCTTGTTCAGCTTGATAAAGAGAGGCGCAAGGAAAGCTCGCAATGCGAGTCGCACTTGAGTCGCCCAAAGCAGAAACCCCAAGAGCTGAGAGAGCTTCTTCTGAGGCACCCGTCGCGGATGCAACCTCCACCAAGCCAGCTCCCTAAGCACCTTCGCTTGCTTGCTTTCCGGCAAGGACGCCCAGAAACCAGAATGCAAGGACAACTGCCACCCCAAATAGGTGAACTCGGAACCCAATGCCAGTTTACGCCAGGACAATGGCACAGCCAAGATTTGCAAAATAGCCAGCACCAGCACCACCAGCATCGCAAACGCCCCCCGCGGCAGGAGGAATAGAAAATCATCCACATAAACCGCCCCCAGGTGGCGGTGGCGCACCAGGAAGTGTATGGTTCGTAACAGCAAAGCAGAAAGCCTCGACCACCAATACGCCGACCACGCGGCCCCGAAGTGGTTGACCACGTATGCGTAGAATTCTCCTTCAAGTGAGAATACCGAAAAGCCCACATCTTCAGCAGCCGTACGGATAGATTTGTGAGCCCCCTTGATGTCCACGCTGAACAACACCCACTCTTTGGGGTCCACCGCCACACCTCGCCAAGCGGCGAACCTGTTCAGCGCAGCAGTGAACAAGAAAAGCGAAGGCACCTCCGCCCGCTCAAGGAATCTGGCCGCCGGGCTCGCCCCACTGGCGCGGGAGTCGCCAATGAGCCGGTCTTCTTTTCCAGCGCACGTCACGAGCCCCAGTTTGCCAATTGCCAAGGAACCATCCGGGAATCGCTGTTGTACTGCCGACATCCCCCCTGCAATGTGTACCAAATAACCCAGGTCCACTTCTTTCTGGACTAAAGCGCGAACTTTCGCCGGCTCCTGTTCTGCAGAAATGTGATTGGAGGTGCACCAGAACAAATCGCAAGCCTCAGCCACCTCGTCACCCCATTTGCCAGAACAAGGTGGCCAAACACCAGATGCAGGGATTGGCTCCCGTACTCCCGTAGGCGCCCCGCGCCGAAGCACTTTGCACAGAGCAACATCTGGATCATCCATACGCAGAGCCAAACTTTCCAGCAGATTGAACTTGTACGGAGTGAGTTCAAAGGACTCCAATGCCCAAGCCGAATCGATACCCAAGGCTGAACAAACGGCCACTTGCATCAAATGCACCTCTGAGTCAGTGAAGAACGGATGCTCCAAGGTCTTGCCACACAGCGCGGCCGCCCGGCAGCAAGCATCTTTCGGCATGGAAGACCAAATTGCTTTGCGCACCGCAGACAATGGGTCCCGCAAAGCTCCAGGCGGAGGCACTTGCCAATCCAGAGTGCTCGACAGACCACCCCCGTCTTTCAGCAAGATGCGGTGATAATCTGCAGGAGAACCACTCTCAGGCTGCTGAGCCACCCCTGCCACGTCAGCCTGGCCCGCATCTTGACGGAAAGCCGCAGGCTGCCAGGGTGGAGCGCTACCAGCTGGCAGCGAGGGGCAGCCTGCAGGGTCTGCTGCTACCTCGCTCCCGCATTGCTCCATGATGGGAGCGAGGCAACGCCCCTAATCCTCTTTCGCCAATTGCAAAAGCTTCGCGCACGCATGCCGCCCATGTTCAGCAGAGCCGCAATGATCACAGTGATGCTTAAACTTGCATTCGTTGCGCATAGTGCATTTGCCTTCTTGGAAGCTCCAACACAGACCCTTGGCACGCTTCACCCCTTTGTCTTTGCCCTTGCCCTTGCCTTGGCCACGACCCTTGCCAGCACTTGTAGTTTCAGCACCATACGGGGAAGGACGCCTTCCCTTCTCTGCTGGAGCTTTGAGGCGCGGCTGCAGCCACAATCGCAAACGGTCTCGCACCACAACTGCCTCATAAATAGCCCTGTCCAAATCATTGCCCTTGCTCATCAAGTCCTGCAGTTGACGGCAGAGTTCCGCATCCGCAAACTCGGCCTCTGCAAGGTTTGGGGGGGCGCATCCCCACATCAGCCAACCCAACGCGATGATACAGCAGCATGAACTTGTTGACAAGCATTTTGCCCGACGACAAATGGCACCAATCCAGCAACGCCCACGCCACACTGCGCAGCGACAAAACCTTCTGCACAGCGAAGGGGGAGGAAGACACGTCAGCTTCCAAAGCGTCAACATGTCCTGTCACATCCGCCAAAAGGCCCAGGAGAGACTTCTCCTTAGAGTGGGAGCAGGACTGGCGGGAACGATCGTATTGCACAACGCTCAAGATTTGCTTCCAAGGGATAAACTTCAACTCCCCATTCCGCTTTTGGAGCGCGATCTGCTGCAGCAATTGCTTGCAGGGCTGCCCATCCGCTTCCAAGCACTCTGATGGGTAGTCCACCGCAAACTTCTTCCACAACTCTGCCAACTGGGCCGCATCCAGCTGCGGGCCCACTGAGAGACCCAACAAGCTCGTCCCTGCTGCATCGGAAACCACTGGCGCCTGATCACCAGCGTCATTGCATACTTTTGTGCACATAGCCAAGAGACGCCGCAAGCGGCCCGCTTCCAAGCACTGAAGCAAAGAAGGCGCACAGCCCTTATCTACCCCAGCCGCCTGCAGCACAGCATCAATCGTCTCCTCAGCCCCGCTCTGCAGAGTCCAGCGCAACTCCGCGGCAGTCGCGAAGCCCCGCGCAGCCAACTCCTCCTGAACTTTGCTACACAGCCCCACCTTTTGCAACAAGTCCTGAAATTTCTTCTTGCAGTCCATCGCGGACATCGCGCCAGCAAAGACAAAAGAAGGCAAGACAACCAAACAACGAAGGCCAACGCCCAAACAAACACTCCCAGCGCACTTGCTGAAAGGAATTTAGGGAGACACCTCCCACACCGAAACGACGGACGAGCGTCCGCCAGGTGACCCACGTCACCGGATCTCCCCGAGATCCAGATCTCCCACGAGATCACAGCAGACCCACGTCTGCAAGATGACCCACGTCATCACAGCAAACCCACGTTTGCAAGAGGACACTTCCTCGAAGGTGACCCACGTCACCGGATCTCCCCAGAGATCCAGATCTCCCACGAGATCGCAGCAGACCCACGTCTGCAAGATGACCCACGTCATCACCGCAAACCCACGTTTGCAAGGGGACCCCCGACCTGGAAGGTGACCCACTCCACCGATCTCCCTCGAGATCCCGATCTCCCACGCCCCCACGGCCGCGCAAAAACGCGCACACAGCGCCCCACTTTTTGTCACTCCGCACCCAAGAGCAAACCACATGCAGCATGGCTACAAGGTATGAATGCTCCAATGCTAGTTGACGGGTCTTCCGATCGCACCTCCCAATGTGGCTCATCTACCGACTGAGATGGGGCACACGCCCGCCGTAGCGAACCACCGGCTAGAATCACAGCGTGAAACTTGTGAGAGCGGCAATTCACCAGAAACTTTCCGCCAACAAGCTGCGCTGGGCCAGGCACCGCGTCCTCTTCGTCGTCCGCCTCCAACAGCTCGCCGCACACGCTGCTCACCGAGGACTCCGCCTCCGCCTCATTCTCATCCGACTCAGACTCTGTGTCCGAAGTGCCCGAGGCACAGATGTCCAGACCCAAGGGAGCCCCCCGCAGCGCCGACGGCGCCGGCGCCAGAGGTTCCTCAGGGCAAGGCTGGCGTGCACCTCTTGCTTGAGGGGTCAAGGGGCACCAACCGCCACGTATTGCCCGAGCCACCACCAGCTGCGCCCTCAGCGCAGGCACCACGTCGTCACGCCCATACTTTTGAACCATAGCCTCACCGGCTTCGCGCGCCCGATGATGCCCCCACAAGCGGCGGCAGCGCCCATCGATGTCTAACTGCAAGCCCCAACAAAGCCCAGTCACTTTTAGACTGTGCAAAGTGTAAATGGAAACCGCATGCTCTGGGACTTTGGCCACACACACGAGCAAACGCCTCAACTGAGCTTGTGTATAAGTAAATGAGGCCCGGCCCCCAAAGGGCCCAGGGATCAGGAAATCGACCTCTCCAAGCTTTTCTCGCAGCAATTTGACAGCTGCCGTCCAATCATCATAGATACCCACAGTAAGGCAGCCCCAAGGCATAGACGTCTTGGAGGACTTTGTCTTCCAACATCTGCAGCGCACAATACCTTGCTCGAAGTCCATCTCAGGCACTGCCACGCGCTGGGCATCAGAAAAACGAAGCGCGCCCCAAAGCATAACCAAGAACACCACACACATCAGTGTAGGTGGATCCAGCTGTGGACCCGAAGCCAAGGCAGCGAGCACTGCAGCCTCCATTCGCGCCACGGCATACAAAGGCAAAGGTACAGCTTCCTTGCGTTCCTTACTCTCTGCCGCATCGCCCGAACAAGCAACCACGACAGGATTTGCTAAGGTAGCCAGCAAGCGATCCCAGCCCAGCAAGGCAGCCACGAACTTCAGGGAACGCCAGGGGGCGATCGCGCTACGGTGCACAGCACCAAACTGTGTGGCGCAGCACCAAACTTTAAACCAGGGAGCAGCTGCTCCTGTTACCAGCAAGCTGTCCAAACTGACAAGGTACACATTAATGCTCCCAGAGAGGGTTGGTGTTCCTGCCTACCCCGACCAACCGCGAACACCGGTACAGAGAAAGAAAGCCGGCCGTCAAATTTGCCGTGTTCTGCTGCTTGGTGGTGAAGGGGGTGTGAACGGGTATAACTAAAACATACATTAACCCCGGACCCCCGTTAAGATCGTTTTTGCGCCAGCGTAGCGGCATCCGAAACCTAAAATTTGCATCGTAGCGCTGGGTGTTTAAAGCGTTCTTGAGGCTCTAGCTACTTGAGTGTAATTGTCCAGATCCATCACGGGGTATCGGTTTTGGTGGTACGTGTATTGTCGTCTTTCGGAGAAACAAATGCATTTTGTGACTACTCGTCTCTTTCGTTCATCTCGACTCTAGCTCAGATGATGATGCTTAGCGCTGTCCAAGTCATGTTAGCTTTATGTCATCCACTCTTTGTCAGTTTGGTGTAGTGAAGTGGCACTGTAGTGGTGTGATGATCTTGAAGCGTCAATAACGAAAGCTAGGGTGATCTGTTCTCGTCACCGTCTGTGACAGATCTGTGATGTTAATTGCATCAAATGTTTGCTGGTCAGTTTTGGTTATTTGCAGTCGTCTCCTATGTTTCCCTTGATCTTTTCAAGAGAGACCTGGACGCATAGGCGGCTCCGCCTGCAAGGTTGCGCAGAACGTAGCCCAGAAAAAGTATGAAAAAGTCATGTATTATACTACATCCAGGTAAACAAAAAGGAACGTAGCCCAGGCAAAGTGATGTATTTTACTACATCCTGGTGAGAAAAAACCTACAAACATCTACAGTCTACAGACTGCCAAAACCTACAGTGGATACATATCCATCCGAGTCCTCTTTGCTGTACACCTTCCGGCATTCCTGACACTTGGACCGTGCCGTAGTCCCATGGCATTCGATGAGGTTTGCCTCTTGGATGCCAACTTTCCGCTCGAGGCTGTCTATGTTTTGAGTGTAAAGCCTGACGAGACGAGGCTGGAAAAAATTCTGAGAGGAGTCTGAACGGACTCTGTGGACATGCGGATCACAGCTGATCAACTTTCACCCTGGTGTCTAGAGGTTCCGCACAAGCTGATCCAGAGCTGATCAGAATGGTTTCGCATCCAAAGAGGTTCATGACCAAGAAAATGAAGAGAACACAACATGGCAGACATAATGAGGCTCACAGATCCTGTTTCAAAAAATATGAAAAAAGGTGCCAGAATGGCCTTTTCAATATCTTCTTCTTCTCGAGTAGCTTGAGGAACGCATGGGTCAGTGTTGGCTCAACACCATCTACACGAAGTTTTTGCATGACCTGGTTGAACAGCTCGGGGTTTTTGTTCAGAAAGCCACCTCAGAGTTGCAATTTATCTAAGAAAGTCGCAAACAGAAGCGGGCAGCCATGTCTATCTTGTTTCCAAGCACGTTTATCAACTACTGCACGCCTACGCCATCCCTCACTAGACCCTCTTGGACAAGGCGCTTGTGAAGATGGTCTCTGGCGAGGTAATATTGGTGGTGTGGCGTAGCTGATCGTAAAGTCCACCCTTGGAACGAAAATCTGGTAGGTTGGCAGAAACGGAAATGCCCGCACCTGCCATGACCACCACGTTGGAGAACCTAAGCCAATCGGCTCCAAACACGCGAAGTTTCATGTTGCTGCTTTGGAATGCATGTGGGTTGTTGTCTAGTTTGGGAGCTATAACATGTGACTTATCCTTCATTCTGGCCCTGCTTGGAATTCAAACATCGTCACTGCTGTTTAAGGTGTAGTATAGTGAAAATAGCTGTGAGTCTCCCTTCCCTACAAGGTCCTTCCACAATCTTTGCTGTTACTTTGAACCCTCCCCATAACCTAGTTGCAGGTTTGCCAGATGTGGGACGGGGGCGATCCTCGTTTGGTGAGAATGGATCGAAGTGCAGTGTAGGAGTGTAAGCTATCACCTTGTTGCTTGCCATCTCACTTTAATTGTTGGATTGGCTGCGATTTTTTTCAAGCCTTGTGAACCTACCTACCGACCTACAGACCCACCTACCGGTTACTGACTTAGCTACCTACCTACCTACCTACCTGCCTGCCTGCCTAAAGGGTTTCAACCTACCCACCTGAAGGGTCCGTGCTGGTTCCATGCATTTTGCGCAAGAGCAAAGCTTGCAATGACAAGAAACTTTCCAGCCTTCAACTCTGATACAATGAGACCAGCCTGCTCATCTCTGGCATCCAATGACAGTGGCTCCGGTGGATCCATTAGAGCCATATCTGCACATGGTTTGGCCACATTGTCTTCTGGAAGCTGCTCGGTGATAGCTTCCTCAGCAATTACATGACAACTGTTGCAAAACATGTCAACCTCTTGACTACTCCCTTCCAAAAAACATACTTCGACCCTTTAATTGAACCACACGGCTGCTTTGATTCTCAGGTCTCTGGATCATCATCTACTGTACCTTTTGTGACGTCAGGTAAGAAAGGGACACATTTGGGATGCATAGTCTTTGAAGAAAGCCTCGATCTCTGCCTGGATCTGGTCATACGCTGCATCGATCCACCGCGTCAGCAACTCAAACCATGCAATCGCTTTGCTTGCGGGTATGGAGTAGCTAGGGTCAGTTCCTTCTTTCCTGAGCCAATGATCCGAACAAGGTGTCCACAAACAGATCTGCATTCAATGCAAGCCTCTCGAAGTGGACATCATGGAACCAGTCCGAATGTAACTCGATTCAGAGGATGGAAAAAGACTGAACACGTAATCAATGATCAATATGGATCTACTTTTGCTAGTGCTCTGTTTGATGTTCCTTTTTGTGTCTTTCCCATCTTCCCCTCTTCTGTGCTAGCTTCTCGTAAAGGTCGTGCATCTCTTGCAGTGTGCTCACGACAATGAGCTTGTTGTCAGGGGCACTCCAATGCAAACCTTCCTCAAGAGCAACACTCAAACCCTGCAGTCAGTGCTAAGCATTGTAGAGAAGGATGATACAGCCAGCAAGAAAGGCAGAAATGGTTGCGGCAAGTCCTACACCCGGTGAAAATGAACAAAGTAAATTTGGATAAAACTGGTGTGCTGAGTAAGTGTGACATTTGTATCTGGGCAACAAAACCTTTGCAATCTTCATTCAATTTCCAATGTTTCACATCTTGGAGTTTGACAAATCTTACGAAAGGACTGCCCTTCGAAAGAAACAAAGAAATGGCTGTGACTTGTAATTTGCAAAGCTCAAACTCTGTGACTCCGGCTCAAACCTCCTTGCCAAGTGGCTGACCGGACGAGATGAGCGAGTCGCAGGGAGCCTTTTTTGATGGTATCAAAGGCATCTTGAGCAAGAGCTGATTCAACCCACCTGCACCAGATTGATGAAAGTTTAAGCGGAACCATGAAATGCACAAATCTTACCAACACACATGAACACATCCAAACTCAAGGCTCAGGACGCTATAAAGTGTGACCACTGCTCTTTTGGGCAAAAGGATATGCCAGCAACTAAGAGTTGTGCTTCGCAGGGTAGTTTAGACCTACCTTGATCTCTGCAAACAGTGCAAACGTACATTTTGACAGGTATCTTGTGCATGATGTATGTTTGTAATGGAGCATTTGTGAGTGTGTGAAGATTATATGTGCATGTTAATGTGGTGAGAGTTTTTGTGTGTGTGTGTGATACAGAACCTCAAAAGAACATGCATTTGCTACTATGAGCACAGTCTGACAGGAGCTGTGGCCACCTGGCGTTCAAGCTGTTCTTTGCTTCTATTGGTGGTTCGTGTTTTCCAATTCTTCCCTGAGAGAGCGAGAGAGTGAGAGCGGGAGAGCGTGAGAGCGGGAGAGCGTGAGAGGGAGAGAGCGTGAGAGCGTGAGAGCGAGAGAGAGAGAGAGAGAGAGTGTGGGTGTCTGAGTGAGAGCCACTCTGGGGACATAGATCTGTGCAGTTTTGGTAACCCACAATACCATAATATCAAAACTGCAGAGCCCATTAAAAAATGCCGTTGCGTTGCTTTAATCTGTTTGTAGCTGGTTTGAGTTTATGATATGTATGCTAAAAATGAAGCTAGTTGTTTTCTGAAATACACTAGACCTCGAAGGGCTCCTCTTCCTCTCCTCTGATCGCGACTCCTTGCGCCTCCTTCTGCGGCGCCTCTTCTTCTTCTTCTTCTTCTTTTTCTTCTTCTTTTTCTTCTTATTCTTCTCTTCCTCTGACCTTTCCTCCTTCTCACCACCAGACTGGGCAGGAGACGCAGATGTGACCTCCCTTAGCCCTGGCGTCCTTCCTCTATCCTCTTCTTCTCTATCTCCTTCCTCTTCTTCAGTCTTCACTCGAAGCCTTTTGTCACCTGATGGATGCCCCTCGGATGGTGGGGGTGATGACTTCTTCTTTGCATTCAAGGTCCTCCTTGCCTCTGCTTCTGGAACCTCTCGTCTGGCTGGTCTAGGGGCTGCCCGACCTCTGTCTCTAGCCTCTGATGCCTCGGATGCACGACGCTCCTCGTCTCCTTTCCCTCGCTCTCCTGATGCTCTCACTTGACCTGTCTGCCGGTTCGAATCGATCTCCTTCTCTTCTGACCTGGCTGCCTCAGAGGTGTCTTCGCCTTCTCGATGACCAGGACCTGAAGGAGGAGGGACAGGAGGCCGAAATCCTGGAGCTCTCCGACCAGGTTTCGGGTGCGCAGTACAGCGTACGGGGCAAACCCGTCCAGCTCCTAGATCTTCAGCCCGGCACTTTTACAGGGTCCGGCGCCGGACTTCCAACTCTGGTGTTTTTCTGGATTTGGTCCGGCACTTTTTCCAAGTCACTTTATGTGGATTCTCAAGGCTTTGCATTCTTTGTGGTTTGCATTTGTTTGAAGGTAAACCCACTACTGATGCAAAGAAATTTGTTTGCAAAGTGTGCTCGTTTGCCTGTTCCGCTGTTTTCTCATTCCACCGGTTTCAGCATGGTTCACACTGGATCAATCAGATCCGTTTAGGTGATCTTCTAAATGAAACCGGATGAAACCGGTACAGTGCGATGCACGTGTTGAAAGACCCAAGTGGGTGTACCTAAGCTGAAAGAACATAGGCACTAACGTACTCCCATTGTTTCAGGATGTTGGGGCGCTGGGATATAGTTCCAGCTGCGCAGGTTTGCAGAGCCTGCCGGACAAGTTTTGGGCTGTGGAACATGTGTTGTTCAGAATCTCAATGTTTTGCAGAGAGTTGCCAAAAAATGGCGCGTCGTAACTCCGGCGTAATTTCCCGTAACTCCGGCGTAATTTTTTGGACTGAGTATTCTGCAGGTTTTGATTTTGAAAAGTTGTTCAAAGAAGAGTTTTGACAGGAACCATGAGTTCTGCTACTTTCTTGGGGGGGCCGTCCTGAGGCAAGCTTTAAAGAAACATGGAGAGCAACCCACTTTGCAACAAAAAACTTTAGAGACACGGTTGCAGATAAAGAGGGGTTCCTTGCCACATACTCCTTGGTTTCTTCTTGGAAGTCTTTGCTTGGGCACGAGTTGCTTACATTTTGTGATGGTTCTGCTCTTAGGCCATTCGGAAGATGGGCGAGGGCAATGGGAACGGGAAGGCTCCAGTGCTGGGCTGTGGAATGAGTGTGCTCCAGAAAAACAATTCGTAGCGCAAAGGCAGTTTCCGTGTGTATGATCCAGCCTTTTATCATCTCTCTTTTTCAGAATCTTGGATCCGGATGTTTTTTCACGTCTCCGGCGTATTTTTCGGAATCCGGGGAAAATTTTGCCGGATTGAGGTCCGGCACTTTTTTCCGCCCAAAGGAGGATCCAGGTATTATATATATATATATGAGCGTCAGAAGCCAAAGAGAACAGGTGTTGCAGTCAAGAACCCCTCCTTGGCATCAACGTTATACAAAATTAAGGGAAGAGGCAGAGGTGCGCTCACATGCCCATCTTATTCCCCGATAGTGTAAGTGTATCTAGGTCGTATCTAGGTCGTATCAGTGCTCTGTCGGCATTCTTGCCGTGTGGCCTGGAATTTCCCTTGGCGGCAATCAATGCTCTCTCTTGGCCGACTTGCTCTTTGCACCTCGAAGTACTTCGGCGCAAAGAAGCTTGCAGCTTGATGCCAATACGAATTCTTCAAGTAGCTTTCTCTTCCAATTTCCGAGTTCCGTTTTGAGCTGACCCACTCATACCGTGACTTACACCTATTCAGAAAAAAACACGAACTCTTGGAACCAAACATAGATGGCACCTAAGCAGAATTGCACATCGTTCTGCAACTGCTTCTCGCGGCTCCGCTTGCTTCACCTCTTCCAATGCGAAGTGCAGGGCCCTGGTCGCAGCAGTCTCACAATGTGACAAGGAGATACAAGGAGTAATACTGCGACACATACGTTATGTGGTATGTACGTACACATGCGTTACATCCTCAAGTCCCTGACAGTCACCCACCCTTTCCAATAGGAGCAAGGACGCTACTAGTAGCTCCTGGCCTTACTACTAGTAGCAAATAGCTACTAGTAACAAAGGGCATCGCTTCTAGGAGCAAGGACGCCACTAGGGGCGCTCCTGGCATCGCTATTAACAACTTCAACATTCACATGAAGCAAGGCCCGCACAGGCCTGCTAGTTGAAGGTACTTAAGCGCACAAAGTTGACAAAGGGCGTGCGGCGTGCTTTTCCGCTGGAAAAGACTTTGGCTCATGACCACGAAAGCTGGTTGTCTGATCCCTCGTTTGAGATCCTATGGGGCAATGAAACCTCACTGCATGCCTATGGGATTCACCATTATGTCCCCTTTTCACTGAGCAACAGGATCAAGAGGCATTCTACCGTTGACAAATGATATCCTGCGCTGCGTGGAACCCCTGCATATAAATATGTTAGAACGAATTGGTAGACGACTTCCTCCTTCAACAACAGCCGCAGAGTCATGAATGATATTTACAAAGCGGGCTTGGTTTCGTGGTTGGAGCCTGACGATCCCGTGCAAAAGTTTTCCAACCAGCACATGGTAGGCACTGTCACCACTGCTGCAAACCATCAAATAGCGGTCCATCCAATTGTTGATCTTGTCAGAGATTGCATCATCCACCAGTCGTCGTTGCACGATGAGTCCTGGATAGGCATTTCAAGAAATGAATAGATCGAGACGGCATCTTGCTGCTGGGGGCAAGGTTCATCATGCAAGGAACAAAAAAGAAAGCCAAACTAATTAGCAACTTATCGGTTGATTCCTCATGTTGCTGTTGTTTTGGCTTGCTTGGCCAGCGCTGTCGAAAGCTTGCTATGCTGCAGGCAAAAACCTTCAGAAGAATGAGATCTTGCTGTCTTACCAAAACACCAAAGGCTCTAGCCATCCAAGTGTCCAATTGATATCTGCTCTTGCAGCCGCAGCACATCCTGCGTTTGCTGACAGTCTATGAGGAGCAAGGTGCCTGTAACTCCAAATAACCTTTCAAGGATAATCAAGCTAAGGATATTTCTTTGGGTCCTTGGTGATTGTCCCACTATCCTGTCTATCTCTGAATCCTTGACTTCATCCTCAACATACTACCTCTATCCGCCTCGTTGCCTGCTGACTCCTCCTTTTGTCTTCGTTTTGCTTGGCACAGATTGCACCGACTCTATACAGCAGGAACCGGTCAAACCCAGGTTGAAATGTCGACAACTGCAGTTCCAGCCCAGGATGAACATGGTTCTCAGCTCGTACATGCTACCATCAACTTTCACAAGGGGGTCAATTGATATCTCTGCTCGAAGCCGCACTTGGTCTGTGACAGTCCAAACGTATTGACATTGAAATAAGACTTGTGTCCATGTTTTCGTTTTGGGGACCTTTTTACAGCAGTCCTGATGACGAGCTTCTAGTTTGCCAAGCTCAGCCAAGCTTGATGCAATCTTTACCAACTCGATGAGTTGTCGCAAAGACTTGTCTGTCTTTCCACGCTGCTGCTGCAAGCGCTCGCTGGCCTTCGTTGTGCCACTGTCCTTCATTGCTTCATCTGCACTCGCTGCACATGCACGGCAAGAGAGTCCGCGTTCGATTTGCATCTCGTGCATCAAACGGGTCATGCCACTGGCCATGCTCGCGAAGTAAAAGCAGCTACTGGATTCTGCATGCGCATGGGTGGTGAGCTCCTGCACGTAGCCTTCTGCCCAGCTTTCCTCCAGAAACTCCCCCATCCCTCCAAGGTCATGGACTGAGAGGCTCGTCGAGAGGTTGGCGTTTGAGTCTTGTCCTTCGTGCCAGAGTAACAAACAGAGTGTTATGATGCCTTTCAAACATAATGACATTATGTTGCATATATGGTCTGTGCCTGTGCTCATTCATGCTCATTCCCTTCTTTATTGCAGTTCTCACATCTTTCAACTTCCCTATGGCAAATCCTGACAAGCTTCCAGGGTGGATTCTCCATCGTCCATGGGTGGCAAACCTCCCCACCAATGTGCGGTCTCTGGCCCATTTGAGTGCTGGCGACCAAAGTGCAAGCTCACCTTGTGGGTGGCCAAGGAAAGACTTAAAGTCAATATAACGGCTGTTGTGATCTTTTTGTGTCGTTTTCTGCCTGTGCTGCACATTCCTTTCTGGGCTCAAACCTAGAATCCCTTGAGGCTTTGGCCTGGGCAGGCACCAACTTCTCGCTGGCACTTGCTAAACGCACTTTGCTGCGACGTGCTGCTTCCAGGTCGTTTGAGGCCAAATTGACTATGATGGCCATTCTGGGACGCCGCTGCCCAAACATTTCCTCATTGACCAGGCCCAATTCAGAGTGAGAATTGAATGACAGAACCACAGAGACAAAAGTGGCTAGAGTCCTAGAGTCGTGCAACCAGTGCGAGCCTGCACTGCTACCACCAACAACAGCATTCTCCAATACACAAAGGTGGACGTGTGATAGCTTCAAGTTGATGATCTGTCTAATGTAAACTGCACCATGTTACCTTGTCTTTTTGTATTCAGAGGGAAGCTGAAACAAGTTAGGAACACTGGTGCGCCGACTATTTCAGACAATTGTCACCATTTGAGAGTGGTGCTTCACAGCCGACTAAGCACCTTTCCCTCTGCTTTGGTGACCAACCTGCCTCCATGTTATGAATTAAATCAGTCTCGAACACTCGTCCCAAGACGGGAGAGGGTGCTCTGTGCTCTGAAAGGAAAGGCTGAAGGAGTTCCAGCAATAGCTTCTTGTTACTACTAGTAAGGCACCTGTTACTACTAGCGATGCACCTGTTACTACTTGAATTCCTGAGTTTACAAGCAGATCCTACAGGACTTGGAGCTTGACACCAAGCCACCAAACCCAGTGCTCACCTGAGTGCTCACCTAGTGGAGGAGACTTCGAAGATACACGCAATACCATACAATACCATGATTGTCTGCCCGCCTCAAGTGACTCAAGTAGATCTTACCTGGATCATCTGGATCAATGACAGGGCTGTTTCCCTAAAAACTTCTCCGTGCCGACCCTTCTTTACCTTCCCTACCTTCCCCACCCGTCTCCCCTGTAGCAGCTCACCCCCCAGCACCCTCCCAAAAATGGAACCAAACTTGGTGCCTCGCGTCCTCGTCGCCTTCGCCAAATATCACCTCTGCGGATTCCATCCTCAGGACAAAGCCCTCCCACGGAAGTGCGACTCTCGACAATCGGGTTTGCCAACTCAAGCCAAGTCAGCTGACACCACTCGCCAAATCACGGCAAACCACGTGAACCCTTGATACATCTTGATACCTACAGTTTTGCAAGTGTGGCTGTCCCAAAATCTGCTCGTGTTCCAGTCATTGTTCAACAACATTGTCAGTACCTGGTTTGTACGTGTCTTAAATCTTTACAATGACATAGAAGTTCCCACTCAAGAAATACACATGTCACTGGCAACTAATATGCAACACATCGGGAAACATGATCGGCGCTATTCCCCACATTGCAGCGACCTTCCAGTACATGTTCTCACTTGGAGCAACATCATGGGTTCCTTACACCTTGAAGCAACCCTCAACCAGCGATCAGCTGTTGGACTTGTGGAAGCAGGTTCTTCAACTCATCCATTTGTAAGTGCACGGTGGATTTGGACTTTCTAGCTGTCGATGCAAGTTAGTAGTCCATTTGAACAGCCATGCTAGCCATGTAACCCCTGGGTGCAAACGGTCCGCCCACCGATCCCTTCGTCCACAGCAAGGTGTCTACTCTTGGCCGTACGGTGCCTCTAGGTTCGCATGTAGATGCTTCCCACAAAAAATTTATTACACACGCCCTGACATGACCGCTGCGTAACACAAGTGTGGAAATTGGGCAAACCAGAGATAATCAAAGTTGCATTAACACAATGAGTCTCTGCATAAGACCTCAACAAGAGACGCATCAAACCTTTACAGTAATCAAATAGTTTGGTCGCCTCAGCCTAGCGTCTTGAGATTGTGTTTGAGCTCGTTGTTCACTCTCTTGATTACTGATGAGCACATCTTACCAAGAACGGTGCGCTGAAAGACATCTAACAATGACCATTCGGAGAGCTGTGCCCTTGTCAAGTCTGCTGCTTGCAGCTCACTTTGCAAAGCAAATCCCAGAACGTCACCCAGCTTATCGGTGGCTTGCTTTGTGGTAGAGCCTGCAACAGCCATAAGCATGTAGGTGTTCCAGTTGACGACATCGCATACTACCTGAGCTGTAGGTGAATTTGAAACAACTGCCTATGATATCCTATGATTATGATTAGGAAGCTCAAGCTGCTCGGGCTCAGGACGATTTGAGCCGAGCTGCTATCTTCTGAAGATCTGGCAAAGAGTCTATGAAACTTCCAAGCAACTGAGACTTGGAATCAGGGAATAAAAGGTCTGGAGGCGCAAGTAAATGCTCGGAAATTGCTTTGCCGCCATAGCCATTTCCAGCTGGTAGAACATCATTGAGGAAGACGCGGTCGATGGTCCAGGTGCGCTCTGTGACGTTCATCCAAGTCACAAAGTGAGAATGTTCTGGGGTGCCCACCACTGCCTCCTTGGACACAAATCTCTAATAGCATCTGATAGCGATGGCCTCCAACCTAATAGCGATGGCCTCCAACCAAAGCAATAGGGACAACTGAATGTGCAAGTTCGAGATTCGTGCACCATGTGGGAAAACTGAGCAAGGTGGCCAGCTGCAGAGGCCTGCTTCTGGGAGATGAAGAACGTGCGCATCTCCAACACAAGAGATTGGTCTGGATCCTGCGCGACGAAGTGGTTCCGACTGGTTCCGATATCGAGAGTCTTGTTGCTTCAGCATGTTCAACTCCTTTCACTTCTGAGTTTTGGGTGAACGCCACAAACTGGTACAAGGCACCAAACTGATCTGCTGACGGACACTGGGTTCTATTCGCGGGACGTCAAAAGTACAGACCAGTGGCAAACGCTCAATGGCAAGCAAAGAACAGCAGATAGTAAGCATTCCAACCTACTAGCAATGGCCTCCACCCTACTAGCGATGGAACAAGCTTGAAATCCGTCCTTCTTTCCACTTAGCATTTCCTTCATACTTCGGTGCACCAAGCCCATGCCCACGTATTTTTGGTAGCCATCGACAACAAAACCTGGCCGAACCATCGCTGCTTCCGCCGGTCATTTCAGGGACGTCATGGCCACCACAGGATCTTCAAATCAAAACAACTACGCAGAGAGGTCGAGGAGACCCATACTTCGGCCAAGAAACCTGCAGATGATGGGCGTATGTTATATTCTAACTTATTCTGCGTCCATCGCAAGGGAAGAGGAAGATCCTCATTCACCACTTTCTGGTTGAGGCCGTTCACAAAGCCACCGATCGAGCCTGAACTTGGAATTCGGGCAACAGGATAGGAGGATGTGGAGCTGTGTTCCTGAGCTGCAAAACTGTACGGATCGCTGGACTTGCCACTGTGTTCTTGAGAGGCAGAATCCTGGCCCGTGGGGCTGCTCAGATGGTGGTTTTTCCTCAGGAACACGAGAAGCATGTGCAGAATTGCATAGAATTGACATATAGAATAGGGGATGCTCTTCTGAGCAGTTCAAAAGCAAAAAATGGAAACGCGACAGCAACTGTTCTTGATATGGTTTTGCAAGGTTCTGCTTCTTCTCGGCCGCCAACAACGATGCCATGCTTTGGGCATGAGCAAATAGCGCAAGTTTGAATCCTTCACAAATCTGCCGTGCAGTTGACGCCGCATCCTCCGTGTCATCATCGAGTGGCCTCATCCAATAAGTGTCGCACATCGTTGGCGTCGAAGAATCCGAAGTCCTTACTCAGGATACTCAAGTCGGGCTTGAACGACTTCAATCCAAGATAGCCCACGGGCACTCATGGATCACACAAAAGCGTCGCCCAATGCTGCCATGCAAATGTAGCCCTGCTATGAAAAAAACTCAAGTATGTATGCAATGTATACCCCCAACAAAACTTTGTGCTGCCTGGCGTCATCAAAGCAGCACAGTCCAGTCTGAGCTTTCGACGTGCCATTGTTTCTGCAATGAGCCCTCGCTCGCCTCCCCTCATGGGACATTTAACAAAGAGTCTCAGCAATCCTTTGGCATCTCGCACTTGGCCTCACTGGTCGAGAAAGTACTCGCACGTCATGCAGCTCGCTGATGTTTGCTGTCCTCTTGTCAACTTCTTTGCAGCTGTGCAGCTCATCAGCATTTTTGCTGCTGGCAGCTCTTCGCAAATAGACTGAGCAGTCGCTTCTTCCACTTCCACTTGAGTCGAAGGTGATGCTGTCATGTAGTCCTGAACTTGAGACATCTCATGTAGAAGTGAGGAGTTGTCTTCAAAATCTACCTTTCTGGCTGACTTTGCCCGTATCAAACTGGTCAGTCACTACCAGACTGGTGCATGGCAGAAATGCAAATTCAAAGCTAGCTGCCTTGATTGGGCTTCGGATTTTCTTCTTCACGGTAAGCTCGAAGGTCTGGTCAATATGCGACCCAACCTGCGAGATTTCAGCTGTTATCAAAGACTCCGCTGCCGCTTTAGCTCTCATGAGAAGCCTAGGTTCTCGGAGCCATGGCATATTAGGAGATACATGTGATCACAACAACTATGTAGATCTAAGTAGTAACAAGTGCATCGCTACTAGGAACAAGTGCATCGCTACTAGTAACAAGTGCCTTACTAGTAGTAACAAGGTTTGCTATTAGAATTAAATTACTGCACCCCTTTCAAACCTCCATGTGTCGAACCCTGGAGCCGCTACAAGGACCACCACAACTTGCGACAAGAGAACTGTGGCTTCTGCAAACCCACTGTGTTCACCTATATACCTCCATTGACCAATAAAGAACATATCTGACACAGACTACAACCCGTCGCTGGACTTGCCTTCAGCAATGTCCCAGACGTGAGGCATAGTCTCCTCTTCCTTGGCTCTGATCTCAGGTCTATAAATTCAAAACACACACACACACAGACAGAGAGACTGTGATACAAGGAGTCCTTAGTGGTTGGCATTTCTTTGGTGTCCGATGCTGTCCCCCTTAGCTGCCTTTGCTCTTGTGGGTGGGCATGTGGGTATACTATGTCATGTTGATTATACGCAGTGTCAATCATATCTTGAAGTGTTTCGTTGCTGTATCGTCTCACCTTTCTTTTGGTGTACCACTTTGCCCAAGCTTCTGCAAGGCGACCTCCAATCGTTGGAGCTCTTCTGGGCAGTCCAATCCCACGATACGAAGCTCAAGCCGCGAGTTGTCGAGCTTGACAACGGTCAGTGATAACGGCAAGCCTTCCAACTTGAAGAAACCTTGGCACATTCTACAGCTGCGCTGCACTTCTGAATGTGTATATATATATATACAATGTATATAACCATATATGTTGAAATCTACATTGCACATGTTCCTTCTTTGAATGGGTGTTTATCAACTAAACCCGGGTCGAATGAACTGGTCCATTCTCCCAGAGCTGTGTAGCAAATCAGTCAATGCTACTGCTAGCTCCAAAGGCAGCTACCAACGAGGCCTTCTGCAGTTTGTACATTGGTTTATATATCTGTGAAAGGACTCTCAACAAATGTTATCAAACTGTTCCAAATGATGCCATTGTTTCATCTCATTCCCTTGAAATATCAATATCCCAGTATTGGGATCTAAACTCATGGGGCGGTGTGAAGTTTGTTGACTGGGCAGATTATCGAGAAGCTCTGTGCCGTAGCTTTCGAGATCTCATTGTCCTTGATGGTCGAACCACAGCAGCCCATCGTCGTTCACTGCTGCCCTTGTGTCAGCGACGGCCCATAGCCGGGCCCACAGCTCACTGCGAGCGAATGGCAACGGATCTGTGATGGCAAGAACGACTTTGGTTACTTTGATTAGATATATATTAAATATCAAAGCAAAAAACACACAAAGCAAATTCCACCTGCTGCCTGGGCTTGCCTGTTCCCTCTTCCAGTATGTGGGAAAAAAACTAAAACAAAACACATGCAAGGACTGCACGAAATTCCCAATCAAGAAATCCTAGATGTTAAGCGATGTTAAATAAGTGCTGGACAGGAAAACGCCAGCAGTCTAAAACTCTGCACATTCCTCCTTGCAGTGTTCAAGCAAGCCATGAATTCAATGTTGCCTGCTTCCCATGATATGCAAGTAGAGGATAGGTAAATACATGACTGCCTCCCCATCTCAGGATCAGACAAACTCATCTTGCTGGCGCAGAACTTGTGGCTGGTGCAGGCTTGCTTACCTGCTCATAAACAATATATAACTATAACTGCCCGGCATTTCCACTTCAGCGTAACCCCTTTGCCAAACTACAGTGTACGACAACCGTGTACATGCCCCCATACTTTATTGTGTGTGTTTGTGTGTGTAACCCTTGGAGTCATAGGGATCCTTTCGGATTCTAGCAGGGGGTGCCAGGGACCGTGCAAGTCCGGCACTAACAAAGACGCTTGCACTGGTCTGTGAAATCAATCCGGGACGCCGGATTGACGTACCTGCGTGGAGAGAAACCTACTTAATGGACAAGCTGTTCCAATGCTGTGTTTTGCAGTAAGCGGCTAATGCAGCGGTGCTTTTCCTTGAGTGCTTGGACCTTGGGAGCTCCACTGACTTCCTCGAACCGTCGTCACCCTGTCGTTGTCGTTCGCTTTCGTGGTCATAGGTTTGGAGGCTTCTAATTTCCTACCTGGAATCTTAGGCGGTTTTACCTAGGCTGGCGTGTGGCACCGCATTCAGTTCCGTACACAATATCTCAAGTGTGTTTGGCTTCGTGCCAACCCGGGATGAGCCCGCAGAGTGCCTCCCGTGGACCCGTCGAACGGGTGTATGTCGCTGTTTCCCATGCTCTGGAAACGTACGTGCCCACAGCGGGCGAAGGTGGCCTAGGCCGTACGTCGGATGATTTTTGTCCCATCTTTGGAATTCCAAGTTGGCACATGCCTTTACGTGACCGCAGCGGTCAGAGGTGGCAGCCTTCGGGCAAGCCGTACGTGGTCGAAGCGACCGAAGTCTGTTCAAGGTTCATTGGAACCTGTCAAGCACTTAGTTCCCCCTCCTCCCCCTTCCCTCCCCCTTTCTTTCTTTGCTTTCTGGGGTTTTCCTGAATGGAATACTCAGGATCACCCCTCTCTTTCTTGGGTGTGTCCCTGGACGATTGTTCATAGCTGGGAACACCTTCCTTTCCTCTCTCTTTCTCTCCCTCTCTCTTTCTTTCCTTCTCTCTTTCCTCTCCTCACCCTCCTCCCTGGGTGTCCCTGGATGCTTCGTCATAGCTGGGAGCCCTTCTTTTTGGTGTGTCCCTGGACGCATGTGTCGTAGCTGGGAGCACCTTTGTCTCTTTCTTTCTTTCCCTCTCTTTTCTTCCTCCCCCTGCCCCCTCTTTCCTCGCGGGCGTCGTGTTTACAAGCAAACTAGGCTTCTGCAACAGGTTTTTCTAATGAGGTTTGGTTTGTCATCGGTTTGTCCCCGTTCATTTGGTTCCCCTTTCATCGGCCCCCACAGACCGTTTTTTTCCTCTTTTCTTTCATGTCTTTCTGTCTTCATGTCTCTTCATCCTCATCCTTTCTTTCTCTTGCGCGCACTATCGTCCGGACCTTAGTTTGTACACATACACGCACGCGTACTTTACTTACAGCAAGGTTCAGGTGGCCCAGGTTCGTTACAATGAGGTTTGGCTCATCGGTTGTCCCTCTTCACTTGGTTCCTTTTCATCGGCAACCACACACACCTTTGTCTGTCTTGTCCTTTTCATTTTCATCTGTCTCTTTTGCGTGCACATGTGCCTACCTCCTTTCCGGGCAGGATGGAGGTCACACATGCCTCCCTTCGGGGAGGCGTGTGTGTGTAACCCTTGGAATCATAGGGATCCTTTCGGATTTTAGCAGGGGGTGCCAGGGACCGTGCAAGTCTGGCACTAACAAAGACGCTTGCACTGGTCTGTGAAATCAATCCGGGACGCCGGATTGACGTACCTGCGTGGAGAGAAACCTACTTAATGGACAAGCTGTTCCAATGCTGTGTTTTGCAGTAAGCGGCTAATGCAGCGGTGCTTTTCCTTGAGTGCTTGGACCTTGGGAGCTCCACTGACTTCCTCGAACCGTCGTCACCCTGTCGTTGTCGTTCGCTTTCGTGGTCATAGGTTTGGAGGCTTCTAATTTCCTACCTGGAATCTTAGGCGGTTTTACCTAGGCTGGCGTGTGGCACCGCATTCAGTTCCGTACACAATATCTCAAGTGTGTCAGATTCCAATCAAAGGAAGCATTGTTTTTATGTGTGAACGATGTGTTTTCACAACTACATAGGGATATGAAGGTGCGAAGATGTCAGTGGGCAGGTGCGGAACATGAATGTGTAACGTGCATCGCTGGACAGGTTGTAATGCCCTTCGCTCATAACCTGTTCTCAACAGTCTGAAGGCCAAACCCGGTCAACTTGCAGTCCAAACGACCCTGGAAACGACCAAGACTGGCTGACGCAGGAACTTTGAGATCCTGAATTAGAGCCTGCTTCTGTTGGGCAATCAAACTACCCTGTGCAGATCAAGCCGCCAACCGTTCTCCCAAAACAACGGTAGGGCCTGTAGGGATTCTCTTTGTCGCCGATGAACCATTCAGACGCTTCTCTGAAAAGATGTGATTGTGGAGCGCATGATGGGAAATTGAAGACATCATTGGTGACATCCACCACGGCCGCAAACAAAGAATCCCAATCACAACAAAAATGATCAATGCAACCTCTGCGAAAACACCAGCAGCCCCACAGCTGCCTCCACCGTCGCAGCCTTGGCGTAGCGGCTTCAGCCATTGAAGGACCTCCCACCGCCTTGGCCTGGAAGAAGGAGGCACATCAATGGCCATCAATGTAGACTGAGAATGGCCATCAATGCTGTATTCCTCAAGGAGAAGATTGAACGTTGTAGTGAAACATTGTAGGCTATTAGCATGATTTTATAACTGGTGTCCAACAAATTGAAGGACTGCTAATCCAAAAGTCGTATTCATCCAACAACGGTGCTGCTGGGTACGAGTCCACATCCACCGTCTGGCTGCCAAGATACGATGGACTCAAAACACAGGGATGCCGCCGTTGTGCATGCAGCAGCAAGGACCTGGCTATGGGTCACATAACCCAGTCGAAGATGCTGATTCCAAAATCCTTACGATCTACCATCCGAAAGCATGGAAATGAAATTGGCAAGTCCATGAGGATGCCAGGCGGCGTGGACTTTCTTCTTTCGTTTGACGACCACTGTTGCGACAAGAGCCACGGGAGTGCAACTGTACATAACTTGTTCAGACACGACACTGACATGATGCAGCTGCCAAGTGCAGTCCAGGCATTGACTAGAGCTGACCAAAACCGTCTGACTCCTCTGACCAATCGAATTTCAGGCATCTCCTGTCCCATGGCTCAAACATATTACGTCCACAAGCATCACCAAACCAATAGGGCGCACCCGCACCCAAATAGTTTGGCTGCTCAGGCGGCCACCAGAAGGAGTTCAACTCCCAGCTGTTGCCCAGAAGCTGCACCTGTCATCAGAAATTCAACCCCGTGCACGCATTGGCCAAATGGCTGATGCAACAAAGTGATTGAATCACATCTGATCACTACGTTAGATTTCCAAGTTGGAAAACGGGCAGGTGACATCATCTTCCTGTGCGTGGTTTCTGTTTCTTTCAGCCCGGTGCCTGCATGAGTAAGCACGTGGCAGCCATAGGCCAAATGAATAGGTTAGGCCACAACGCCATTCTCACTCCAAGAACCAGGGTGAGGTCGAAGACTCAGTCGAGCTCCCCTTCAGATACAGGCGCAACCCTCAACTCCTTGACATTTTAGACCCATCTTCACCATACATGCCCTATCTCAGCTCATCCCCTGCCTATAGCAAACTTCGTGGATCGACCATCCCAAATCCACAAGTTGGTTCGCACTGCATCGCAAAGGATCGTCAAAAACCAAATGGCCAGCCGAATTCTCGACATAGACCTGCCAGTGTCAAAGTCTTGGGAGCTCCCAAGCAAATTGTCATTTTCTTCGGAAGAATCGCATGTTGCGTTTGAAAAGAGCCTTACGGATTCCTCTGTCATCTGCGCCCTCCTATCTGGGAAGGCAGCAGGGCAGTGCACATTTGATAAATCATGCACCAAAAAAGGGAGAAATGAACGAATTTTAAACATTGCTCCTCCAAAGTGCGCAACACCTTGAGGCAGGAAAATGGGTCACCCTCAACGTCTTCCAGTGCCTGCAGCGTTGATCCACGACACTGCTAGGCAAGCATTCAAATCAAGTTGCAAGACGTGGCAAGCTTTCAAGCAAGGCACCCAAACAAGAGAGGACAACTGACCATCCATGACGCTTGCTCCATGCACAAATTGATATACATTGTATAAAATTACAAGCTGCGACGTCAGCCTTGTTCAGGTAGCCCAAGGGAATGTCGCCAGCCCAAACCTGAAATGACACAGGCAACTCTTGCAAACGCCAGATGACGTCAATGCGTTCGCGTCAGGCCTGCAAGAAACGAAGATCTAGCCAAGCCTGTAGCAAGCGAGCTCAAAACACATAAGGAAGATTGACTGATTCGTCAAGTGAATAAAGAGGCCTTGTCTGATGCCAAACAACAGAGACTTTAGAAGCTAGCAAAACTGGCATCATCCAGTTGTCCTCGATTAAAGTGATGGAACAAATCAAATCTATCTTTCTTGAGCAAGTACAGTGAGCTTGGAACCCGGCAGGCACCACACCATCCTCCAGCAGCTCGACTCGCAGCGCGGTGCCACTGCTTTCTGCGCAAAGAACCCGGAACCAAATGTAGCCCTTCTCAAGTGGTATCTCAGAGTCAATGACGAGCTGGTCCTCGCACAACTTCGCAAAGACCTGTAATTGCCCTCATGTACTCCAGGGACTCTAAGAAAAACATGGCAAACCCACATTAGCTGTTACAGTAGATGTGAAGTGCAGGTACCATTGGGGTTAACTTGGTCAGGCATACATAGCGTTTATAAAGTATAGACAATCCTATTCTCTGCCTATATTACTGTGTATATAACATATATATATATATACTTTATATTACACATTTGGTATTGTATTATGTTTGTTCCTCTTGCACTCCCTGGTCTCATACTCTGATGGAGCCGAGACGCATCCTTCTTCGGCCCAAGCCAATCCAACTCCAAGAGCTGGCACCAATACTTCCCACCCATCTGGCACTCCTGTCACAAAGCAGGCATGTTTGCCCAATTTGCTTCTGCACGGGTCCCATGCGTAGGCCCTCTGCTTAGGCCAATTAATTGTCAATCTGCAAATCAATATAGGTGGCCGAAAGACTCTTTTGTGGCTGTTCGGTTGGTTGAAGGCGGTGTCAGCCGTCCTTTGGCTCTCCCTCACTGAGGCCAGGCACACCCAGCAACTGCCAGAGCGCCTGTCGCAAAAATCCAGAAATCTGCCGGGCCAATATGATTCAGTTGGACTAGATTTTGCATAATCTTGCCAACACATGCATGACCTCTCAACAGGCTCCCATCGGCCCACGATTCTCCTAGGATCCCTATAGGCCCTTGGAACATCTTGGAACCCTTGCCTCCTCGTTGAAGTCTCCACTTCCCAATGAGAGCTCGACCCTGCCGTGATCACCCAGGCCCTCAAAGGTGCCAATGCGCCGCACTCGAAAAGGCCAACCTGCTCGAAGAGAAACCGAGCAGATTGACTGACTAGCTCCGACGAGCTATTCGGCGAGCAGAATCGCACACATACTTCAAGAACCCTAAAGTTTACGCTTCTTACTCTGTTCCAACATGACACTTGCGGTTTACAGCGGATCGGATTGACTCGTCCATTTTGCCTGGCAGGTACAGCACGGTCAGATTTCCACACCCGTTTAAATCTATAATACTTATAATGCTTTCAGGTGTCGAAATCTGACCGCAACTTAGGTGTCGACATGTTGCACGTAGGATTCTAAGGGGAAGGGGTTTGTCCCGTTTTAGAAGTCAAGAAGCGCAACTTTCGGCACCCCAGTGTACGCAACATTAATTATATGTCTTTGCAGGATTTTGCAGGAATTATATGGAACATTCTGGCACTATTGTCTTTATTTGTCCGAGGATGTCTGAGGTGTCGTTATTCCATGATTGGCGCCTCCCAAACTTAGCAGCACAAAGCTGTGGCCCTCCCGATTGCTGCGTTGAACCGTCGGAGGCTCGATGCTCATTGTGATGTGGCAAAGCAGTTGACTCACCGGCAACACCTTGGCTCTCAACTCAGAGCTCTCACGATGCAAAAAGTCTAACCAGTTAAGAGGACCTCTTCAAAGGGAAACAAATCTGATACTCATACTCAGTTGCATCGTTGAACACTTCGTTCTGCTGTAAGTCTTGGGCTGAGTCGGAGAAGTCTTCTGCATTCAAGCCCAGTGTGATCGCCCCATTCCTTCGCGCATCAAACACAACTTCTCAGGCTGTCTCTTCGTTTCAAGCTTGCTTCCAGATTTGGGGGCTCAAGCCAACGAGCCAGAAATAGCAATGCTTGACCTGTCTCGAAGGCTGCCGCACAAGTGTCTCACAAGAGCGCCGCGATTGGCTCTCGTAGGCTGTGTGGTTACCTCTCTTGGGAATGAAATCCTCAAAAGAGTTTGCGAAGCAGCAAGAACCATGCTCAAGTCAACTCCACTCAGACTACCCTTTTGCAGTTTAGGGGTTTAACGTACACATTGTGAGGCTAAGAAAGCACGAAGCAAATCTGCACGTGTCCTGCAATGGAAAGTACCAATTGCTGTCTCTGACACCATCGTATTGCATGACCTCCGCACGAATCGTCATTGACTCCTGGAGAGTGCCAAGGGTGCTGTCGAGAGTGCCAAACTAGCAAGAGACCATCCGTGCTATTGTTTCCTAATAGCGATGGCCTTCAATCTAGTAGCAATGGCCTCCAACCTCATAGAGATGGCCTCCAACCCACCAGCGATGGTCTCCAACCTAACGGCGATGGCCTCTAACCTAAGATGGCCTCCAATAATTTGTTGAACTTGCCCAGAACGACGGTTTCTAAGCCTTGCAAACTGTTGTCACAGTTGTCTGTCACTCCTGGGGCATGATGCCGTGATGACAAAGGTCTTCCCTTGCAGCGGCAAAGGTCACGTACCTTGATTTCAACAAAGTGAAGCAAGTTGTGCACACACGTTTTCAGATGCCAGGTGAACCAAAGTCAATTATTGTTAAACACAAATAGACGCCTATCAAAGGGCAGCCAAATACTGTCAGGCTGGCTTTCGTAATATATCACCTCACACAGCTGCAGGCCAGGGACTGCTCTGCCAAATGCCCGTCTGAATTGACTTGGCTTAAACTTGCATAGAACTCCTGTAACTGCTTCTCAGGCAACAAAACTCAAAAGGTGCGATTTAATTACAGCATGACAAAGTCCGCTCATAGCAGCCACCTATTGTTTAAAAATGTGGTCCAAATGATCAAACCATCTAGTGTCTTCACAAATCAACTTGCTTTGCTACATCCATGCCATCCACTCGCAAAAACCGTCCTTCTCCTGGTCTTCTCTCTCAAGGCAATTCAAACCCGGGAAGTTGGGCCAAAAGAGCGAGTTGTACCATAGAGGCCCTGAAAAGCGTCCTAGGAAATATCAGCGTATCGGTGCCCCGATCAAAAGTCACACGGGAAGCAAACAGCTTTGATAATGATAGTGGCATCCTGAGTGTCATAAACGTGTGACTTCAACAAAGAACTCACCAAACAGACTCCCACTCGCCTTGAAGCTATTTTTACTGACACCTCGTTTCAACGTCTTTCTTTCGACTGAGCCAAAGCTGACCATGAGTCCTGCATGTGGTGTCAGGGCTTCATGGCGCCCATCACGGTCGTTACAAAGCAGAAAAGGCCCGTTCTCCTGAAAAGTGTGGACTTCTACAGTGGTGTAGTCGCCCAGTGGTACTGCTGTATTGCATCCAAATCTTTCAAACAGCTTTGGACACTGGAATCCAACCCAAACGCGATGCTCCATAGCCAATGTGTTTTGCTTTGCTTCATTTATGCAAGATTAGGCAAGTGTGAATGTTTGTGCAAAAGAAAAACCTTCCAGCAAAAATGCCATCCAGGGAAAGGGTCCTTGCCACGGATTGGTCCATGGTACCCTCCAAGGCGTTCAGCGAAAGCCTCCATCTGCTCAGTCCTTGGCAATGAATATATATATATATATATGTATGTATATTCTCACACTCTCAATCTCATCTGCTTACAATGTGGTTCACAATAATTTCCCTTGGTCATTGAAAGAGGCGCACACACACCAAAAGAAGGATGACACTAAAAAAAGAACACACACACACACATTGCCACAAAGGCACGACAAACAGCAACGGACCAGCAAGCACCATCAGCAAATAAAATCTGAATGCGCACAGACAAACACTCCATCTCTCACCACACATAACTCATTCTCGGGCAAAGCGGCTATCTCATTTTTGGCGTATCCAAGAACTCCGAAGTGTTCTCTCCTTTTGTAGTGTCTTATGCATGTGGCATGAGAATATCATGCTGTAATCATATCACACCCCAATCCGGCTCCACCCCATCTCTGATTGCAAGAATCGAACGTTTAAAAAAAATATGCAAACAATTATACGCCTTGATGCAGTCCAGGGTCAAGTGAGCCGCTTCGCAAAGGCGAGCAAAGCTGCACTCTTGCAACTACCCTTCTCGGTAGTTGCTGGAACATAATAAACAATACAATAGACCAACAAAAAACAAACACATGCCAATCGCAGCCAGAGGAGTGCTTGAGACATTAGACCATAAGACAAACTATGTCATCTGGTTTGATCCGATTCGGTGTCAGCTAGCGAGTCTTGCCAAGGTCATCAACCTGTGCCATCAATTGCCCTTTCAATCCAACTGCTTAGCGCAACCGAAGCGGATCTTTTCACTGCGTCGGCCCGTTGCGTTGGCCCGCCCAGTCCCTCATCTCCACATCCCGGCCGTCACGTCGCCCATAGTAGCGCAGCTCTTTGCCATCGGGGCCTAGGGAGCTTTGGTGTGCGCGTGACATCGCGTGACCCCAAACACCAAACAAGTTTCGTCAGGTTGATTTGTTTCTATCCCTTTGGTCCCTTTACAGCTGTCTGGGTAGTCTCCCCTTTCTGAATCGCAAGAAAAGTGTTTATGATTCACTTTTTTGAGAGCTAATGATCCTCACTCTAGGGAGAGCCTATGGAAGAGCTTAGAGACATGATAAGATTCAACTGGATAGCCTCAAAAGAACATGACTTGACGAGCTGACTGGATGTGACTGGCTGCTCGCATCTGCTGCACTGTTTTTCCCGTTCTCGTTTAGTCGCTAGTGCCGGGGGAGAGCAAGGAAAAGCTTACGTTGTCGGGGACGGAAGATGGAGGTGGAGGTGGACGGGGTTGGGAAGGGAAGAGGGAAGGGAAGGAAGAGGGAGGGGAAGGAAGGGAGGGTAAGGAAGGGAGGGGAGCGAGACGGGAGGCGCACGGGTGGGGACGGGGTTGGGGAGGGAACAAATGGAGGGGAGCGAGGCGGGAGGGGCATGGGTGGGGACGAGAAGATGGAGGGGAGCGAGACGAAAGGCGCATGGATGGGGACGGGGCTGGGGAGGGAAGATGGAGGGGAGCGAGACGGGAGGCGCACGGGCGGGGACGGGGTTGGGGAATCTAGATGGAGGGAGCGAGACGGGAGGGGCATGGGTGGGGACGGGAAGATGGAGGGGAGCGAGACGGGAGGCGCATGGGTGGGGACGGGGCTGGGCTGGGGATGGAAGATGGAGGTGCATGGGTGGAGGGGAGCGCGACGGAAGGCGCGTGGGTGGGACGGGAGGCGCGTGGGGTCGGGGCTGGGAGGGGAGGGGGAGGGGAGCGAGACGGGGGGGGCGCAGGAAGATGGAGGGGAGCGAGACGGGAGGCGCATGGGTGGGGAGGGGAAGAAGGAAGGGAGTGGGAGGCGCACATGGGTGTGGACGGGGCTGGAGAGGGAAGATGGAGGGGAGTGAGACGGCGTGGCTTGGGTGTGAACGGGGCTGGGGAGTGCATGGGTGTGGACGCTTGCGCGGCTGATATGCTAGTTACGAGGACATGGTTGCACCACAAGCATCATTGCAGGCTGCTCCGGGTCAGTGCACAAGTAGAACAAAGCATGGGTGGGGGTAGTGCTGCTCCATGCTTCGCGGAAGCCCGTTGGGAGGTGAGTGGAGCTGTGTTGCACCAGAACCGCGATGCTTGAAATATCATAGTTGCCACGAAGCCTGGAGGGGGCTGATGCTTCGTTTTGGCCTGCTAATTTGTGTTTGTTTATTTTTCCTGGGTTGCGCGCTTCTTTTTGCTTTTGGGTCCGCGGGCTCACCTTGTTTTTTACTGCTTCATTGCAAAACATCCTCCGAAAGGACTTCTTTGGAAAACTTAGAGAGCTCATTAGGTTTGAAGGGAAAGCTTTGGCAGCTGAGATGGTAAGATAACACAGAGTTGAAGAGAGCGAGGAAGCAAATAACAGGAGCCCGGACCCAGGAGCATGTGAGCGGAGAAGAGGGGTAAGCCCCGCCAATGTGCAAGGGCCTGAAGGGCAAGATCATTGTGAAAAAATGAAGAGTTTTGCCACAAGCATCGCCACAAGCATCGGTTAGGATCCCACAGCACAAAATGCTATCTGAATACTGTAGTGTATCTGGTATTTGTCTCTAATCACCTGATGCATTCAAGTTATATGCCCAGTTGTGGCTTCACAGTGACTGAACCACTGAAATCCCTGCCTCTTCCTTCGTCCCGAAAACAATTCCATCAACATGTCCGAAGGCGTGGTGAGTGATCACAGAGTAGCCTGCACAAAGTCTACTAGCTTCTTGTTACTAGTAGTAAGGCACTTGTTACTAGTAGCG